GGCCCGTTAGGCTGCGGCCCAGGGTCCCGCCGGCGGCCGGCTCCGCGCCGCAGCGCTTCACTCGAGCTATAAGCTATGCGCGCCTGGGCCCACTGGCGCCCGGGCTCCGCCGCCATCCGCGCCCAGCCGCCGCCGCCACTTGCCTGGCCGGGAGCTCCAGCCTGCAGCCTAGCGACTGCTGGGGCCCGGGCGATGCACCGTGGAGAGGGCCCCTGGGACAGCTGAGAGAACGACCGAGGCCTCAGGGGGATCCCGCCTGGGTCCTGGGGAACCCCCGGCAGGGCCAGGCCCGGGGCGGCGGGGCCCTCGAGTCTTTGGGGAGGACAGCGCACGTGTCCTAGACTTTCCCGCTGCAGTGGGTCCCAGGAGGGGCTTGACTGGGTTCTCGGCAGAGGCGGCAGGACATGGAGCACCGACTGCACAAGCCCAGGCACCAGACTTAACAAGGTCAAGATCAGAGCTTCCATCCTCTACTTGAAGCTACTGTCCCCACTGCAGTCACCGGAAGGAGGGGGCCTTGGGCATGGATCCCTTGACCTTTTGCCGGCCCCTTCTCACTGGCTCAGGCGCCACCTCTTTCCATGTCACAGTCCAGGTCACTGTCATGTCCCCCACTCCCCTCCCTCCAGTCCACACACAGCTGCAGAAATCTGCCCTTGGCCACAGGCATCTCCAGCCCTGTCCTCCTGCCCCTCCATTAAAGCTCTTCAGGGGTTTCAGTTGCCCACCAGTGTCCCTCTGCCCTCCATGAGGTCCCATCTCAGTCTGTGCCCCTGCCTGGGTCCCCTTTAACCTCCTGTAACCCTACAACCATCTACACCTCTGGGGGCTTTTGCATGGGCTGTTTCTTCTGCCTGGAGTGCCCCCCATTTGCCTGACTGCTCCCCCATCCTTCAGCTGAAAGTTACTTGACCACCCCTCCCAGCACCAGGTAACTCAAGCCCCTCCCCCACAGCACTTGCTCTCTGTCCACCTCCATCCACAGCTGGGTCCCAGGGGTGGGGCAGGGCTGGGTGGTCTTGTCCTGGGCCAACTCCAGCCCAGGGCCTGGGCCTCAGCTGGTGCCCAACATGCTGAACGTTGGATGAAGGAGTAAATGGGAGGTCAGTCTGGGGCCAAGCGTCCTGGGTGGGGCAGGCTTGGGATCCTCTCTCCATTTGACATTGAGGTGCTGAGGAGAGGAGCCAGCCCGCCTCCCTGCCTGCCCTGCCAGTGCCCACCCACTCAGCATGGCGTTGGAGGCCCTCCCTGCTGCTCTTGGGCCCTGAAGCCACTTACCTGTGCTGAAGGTCCTGCCCATGCACCCCACTCTTCCTCACTACCACCCTGTGCCCACCACAGGGCCATGGGCAGGGGCTCCTCTGGAGGGCAGCACCCCTCCAACATGTTGTCTTCACTGCATCCCAGGGGCCAGTTAGGATTCTGGGTACCCTGGGTGGGTTGGCCTGGCATGGATCCAGGCTCGAGTGAGAAGGAGAAGCCAAGAGTGCCACTGGGACCTGTGTCCCTGGGTCCAGCTCTGTGCTGTGTGTGTGTGTGTGTGTGTGTGTGTGTGTGTGTGTGTGTGTAGCTGGGGTGGGGACAGTGCTGTGGACCGTGATCTGGGCAGCCCTGGCCTGAGACCACGGGGTCCTCCCCATTCCTTTGTTCATTCACTCATTCATTCATTCATTCCTGCCTCTCTCTCTGGAAGGTGCATTGTGTGTGTGTGTCTATGTATGTGGAGGGGGTGTATGTGGGTATACAGGTGTGTGTCTGTGTGTCTGTGTGTGTGTGTGGGGGGGTGTTTATGTGGATGTGTTAGCATTTGGCATTCAGCCCCTCTGTCGACCCCTCAGCCTCCCCCAATTCCTGCTGAGTCACCTGCCCCCCAGAGACCTCTGGCATGGCTCTGCTGATCCCTAGGGCCTCATTAGCCCACAACACTCCCCTCCCCCACCCCAGTAATTAAAATACTGCTGACAAGAAAGCCCTCTGTTCTGTCCCCAGGCCACAGGACCAGCTGTGTGACCCAGGGGCCTCTGTCCTCTCTGAGCCTGAGTCTTCACCTGTGAAATGAGGGAGAGAAGAGCAGAGGGCCCAGAGCAGGCAGGGAAGACTCCAGATTTGCTGCTGGAGCCAGAGGGGTGAGGGGGACATTGGCTGGGACAGACAGCAGCTGCTGTCTTACAGTCTGACTGTTGAGGCTTAAGGACCAGGCTGTGATGTGTCTGAACCTTTGCAATGAGGAGCTCAGGCTGGGGCTCTTTCTATTGGAAGTGAGAAGCCCTGGGGGGGCTGCAGAAGAGGGCTCATGGGGGAAGGGTCCCAACGTCATGGCGTGGAGAAGAGGGTTTGGCCAGGAGCCATGGAGGGAAGGGTAGGAGGGGAGGCCCCGGGAACCCCAGCATGTCCTGGGGAGGGCTGCAGAGGTGCCCGTGAGCGGGCAACTGGCAGATGTGGTCAGCATGACCCTGAGCCTGGGAGGTCAAGGGCAGTGAGAGCAGGTGTGGTGAGAAGCTCCTGGCTGAGCTTCCTCAGGGGAGTGGCCTTAAGGAAGCCAGGTCTCAAGGTGAGGAGGTGCTGTGGGGAGCAAGGAGCCCTGCCTGGGGCCAGGGCTGCAGGGCAGAGAGTGTGGTCAGAGTGAGGGGGGAGGGCAGGCAGTAAGCAGTGGCAGAGGGTATGAGGAGTGGGAGGTACAGACAGGCCTGCCTTCCAGTTCTTCCTGGGAGCTCTTTGCCCCCAAGCTCCCACCCAGACTCCCACTCCTTGCTCCCACTTTGGCTCCAGAAGCTGGTACAGAGGGGCTGATGCTGGCTTTCCCCTTCCGCCCTCCCTCTGTGCCTGGGCAGGCAGGGCCAGGTGTGGTGGGGATAGGGGAGAAGGCTGGCTGAGTTTGGGGGAGGAACTCTCTCCTGGGGCTGCCCTCACCCTGCCTTGGTACCAGCTCTCCCCAGCAGGTGAGGTGGGCCATTAGCCTCCACCTTTGTGCCAAACACTCAGGAATTCTCCAAGCAGTGCCGCCCCAACCCCTGGGCTCTGCCTCAGCAATCAGAATG